CATTCCTCCCTTGTTTAGGAAAAAAAATATGGCTCCTGAATGGGACACTCTTCCTTAAAGGAATCATCCTTCACTTCATAGACAAGATCCCTGAGCCCCAGTGAAGGCAGGGGGCTTCTAAGGCCATGGGATCTGACTGGATTTCTTAGGGAGTCTTTCTGACTTTCAAGCCAGCAGTTAGTGCCAGGCCAGGCTCTGTCAATGACCTTGGGCACTGCTGTCCTCTCAGCCTCAGTTTCTCTAACACTAAAGTAAGTAGATTGCACTAAATCATCTCTGAGGTCCCTTCCATGTCATAATTGTTTATTCAGAATATGAAAGTTTCAGTTTTCCATAGTCCCTGTTTATAACAATGCATCTGATTTGAAAAGAGAGTCCTTACAAAATAGCTACAGTTCCTAAAATTTGAAGTTTAAAAAAAATCATGAGTTCAACATTGAAAGCTAGAATGTGATGCCAGTAGCACAATAAATGAAAACAATATTCTTTAAAAATTCCAACCACATAATTTAATTTCATATTTCTTTTTCCTATTTAAGAGAAAATAACACAAGCTTGAAAAGCAGTAAATATGTAAAGAGAAAATTTGTCAACTGATATTGGAAGATCTGACCTAGGTCACACATAAATCTCTCAGACAAGAGCTGCAGGGCAAGCCATAATTTCAGAGAGTAAAAGGGAAAATGAAAGCTATAGCCGGTGTCTTCTTTAAGTTACACAGAGGATTTGTTTTAGTTTTCTGATTGTGCCTCTGAATATAATGGTAGCAATTCTGTTTTACCTCTGTTTGTAAAAAGTACCTCTATGGGGAGAGAAGCATAAAAGGAAACTTCCAGAGTTGCTTTTTTTTTTAATCACCAGAACCATTGTCTAAGTAGTTGAAGCCCCACAAACAAACTTTTGCATTGGCAATGTCCTTTCCAGGATCATTTTCCAAAGTCATATTATATGAGCTTTTCTTTACTTACCTTTTTTTTTGGTAGCTAGACAGTATGGGCATACGAACCCCTGACCTTGGTGTTATCAGTACCGCACTCTCCCAAATGAGCTAACCAGCCAGCCCCTATAGGAACTTTTCCAATTGCCAACTGTATGGTCTTTGCAAGGAAATATATGATAAATGTTACTACAATAATACCAAGACCTAATTGATACTTGTGGCTGCCTTTTATAAAGTCATTCTTCCCCATTTAATCACACAGGGTCTGTCTTACATCACAATGAGACATAACTGTCCCCTGGTAGTGTGGCTTTAAATCTTGAATCTAATGGTTCACAAAAGGAAAAAAAGCATGCCCAGAAGAGGGAAGAGGTTCATCTAATTAGTGTATCTCCAAATGCCTACTAGTTCTAAAGACTGATTAACAAAGCGTATGTAGCAATTACTGTTCTGTTCATTGTCCCAAAGCACTAGTCAGACATAGAAAACATTCAACCCAAGCAAAATGTATAAGCAGAAGTGTGGGCTTGGACAAGTTAGTTATAAATAGCATTTCATATGTTGTGAGGTGCAGGTAATACATCAGCCCTAACAATATTATTATGTTCCTCTGAACTCTGCTCTCACAGCCAAGCATCTGGAAGGCAGACCCAGGATAAAGATAGGTGTTCATGAAGCTAACATTTTATATTGAGTACTCTTAGAACCACTTTTAATGTGCTATAAAACTAGGGGCTTCACTTTTTCATGAACTGTGTGCAAAAGCAGGGGCAATGACTGGAGGTTGACTTTGTTTAGATCTGTTTTATGGTGGCTGCATCTCTACAGTAATGTGATCTTGAAAAAGGTAAACAACAAAGAGTTTAGCGGTGAAAAATATGCCTAATATAAATACAGTCAAATACATGGCAGCTCAGAATTTGAAAAATATGACTATGGCATTAAATTTTCTGGTGGAATTAACAGAGGAACAGAATACAGCCTTTAAGGCAATATATCTGAGACAGAGAAAGGAGATAATACATCTAACTCTATGGTCTGTGTGGCATTCATATAAAGAAAAGCACAGTAGCTTTATTTAATTGAGAAAATGAATCAATTACAATGATGTTGTATCATCAGATTCTTGCGAAATAGAAGATATAAGTCACTGCATTGTGTAACGGTGTTAAAAAGTAATTGAGTATCTTGGGGCCGGCCTGGTGGCGCACTGCTACAGTGTGCCGCTTGGGAGTGCGGTGGCGCTCCCGCCAAGGGTTTGGATCCCACATACAGACCAGTTCCCGCTCACTGGCTGAGCGAGGTGTGGGAGCAACACCGAGGGTTGCGATCCCGTTGCCGGTCCTGGTCCGGTACGGGCGCGACACTGAGGGTTGCGATCCGTTGCCGGATACGAAAAAAGACAAAAAGGAAAAAAAAGTAATTGAGTATCTTAAGCATTTTGAATCAATTTCAGGTACTGGCACTGCTACCTTAATACAAAATTTATCAAGATGATTTCATATAATATTCAGCTATCAACACTGTGTGATAAAACCTGGTAACAATGTCTGTCTTTTAAAACCTGGGCAAAACAGTATGGTTATAAGATAATAAAAAAGACTTTGGTATTGCTGTTTTTCTCTTGTAGTAGAGTGTTAAAATAGTACAATTTTAAGTTGTCTTAAACTAAGCTTTTAACCTGTAGAATACGGCAAGGTGGAGACCTTGTCTAAGATCTCAGTTTATAAGAAAAAATTTTCCCCTCAATTCATTTGGTTCACATAACTCATATGTTAATGGGGACAGTGTCTCATAAGCTATTCCTGAATCTGTTTCAAAACATCTCACTTAGAATGTTTGCTAAATGTTTTCCTTAGAGAATGTTTTAATCCCCCTGACTCTTGGAAGTTTGTGAAAAACATTCTCTTTGACATAATAAATAGATTTAGGATTCTTTGTTCATCACAAGTAACTCTCCTGTTGAAATAGGTGCATATATCTTACTAAGAATGTGGGAGTAGAGGAAATATTTATGTGTGTTTGAAAAAAAATAAAAGCAAATACCATAGATACCCCTGTCACAGGAGGAGTTACCAGGCTTTTCAAGATTTTTTTTTTTTTTTTTTTTTTTTTTTTTTTT